TCGCCATCGCCGTCCGTTGATCTTCCGCCGCTCCTTTGGTCACCGGTGAGTTCGCCGTGCCGTCCGCTACCGTTGGTGTCCTCCGTTCGTACCGAAGCGCCGTCGTTCGCCGGCGGGCTTGCGCATCCGAGCTGCCGAGCCGCCGCCGTCGGTGGTGACGTCATCGCCGAAGTCATCGTCCCCGTCTCCCGTGAGCCGGTCGTGGACCGTTCGATCTCGGCCGTCCGTTTTGGATCAAGTCGATCTCGGCCGTCCGTTCGCGTGAACCGTCGCCCGTGCGCCCGGTCCACCGAAACCCTAGCCGCTGACGCAATAAACATTCTTTTCCTTTTCAAAAATAATTCATTATTGCGTCATAATTCAATTAAAATCTATATAAGTGTTTTAATCCGATTAAATCTTCAAAAATTCATAATTAATTCATCTTAGCTCCGATTTAGTTGGTTCAAGTCTCTAAATTTTTCTAAAATTGAGATCGACATGTACTGTTCATGCTTGCTTATGTGTTGTTTTGGTGATTTTGCTTCTTTCTGTTTAGATTCCGTCGTTTCCGGAGAGTCCGTTTTCGTCGGAGAAGAGTTTGAAGAGTTCCAAGGCCAGCAAGGCAAGTCACACAGATCCCAAAGAACCCTTTGAGCATGTTGATCCTATTTAAAGCTATTGTTTCTATTCAACTATTGCATTTATTTTCGAATGTCATTGGGTGGAATTAACCTATTCTTTGTTATAGCCCTTTTGTTCTTGATTACTTTATTCCTTGATACCTTGGGTTATTATAACTTGACTAGTTGAGCTTTATTTATTGGTTCAGCTAGATATTAGATGTGATTGCTTAGCCATGCTTAGAAACATTAGCACACTATTGGAATAACTTATGACTCACTATTATTTCATGATGGTTTACTGATAGCTCACGATGGTCAATCGTGATTGGTTAATTAATTAATGTGCCAACTAAAACCTGATAATGGTGGGTTGTGAGCACATGGTTTTGATGGTCGTGCTCATGACAATTAAGGACCGGTTCACGAGTTTCGGTTGTGAAACATTTACCGTGCCAACCACAAGCTAGGGTGGGCAACGGCTTTACCTTTTGTATAGCGTGGTTCATTGCGGAGCACCAGACTGAGAAGTGGCGGAGATAAGCCCACGGGGGTTCGCTGGGGAGTCCATACCTTGTTTATAAGGGGGTGACTATGATCCGGGAGTGGTGCACTGTGGTAGATTGTGTTGTACGAGAGGTAATGTCACAACTCTTTTCCGAGGTACCGTGGTGGTATTGAGGCACATGGTGACATGATGTGGGGTTGTGTCTTGTGGGTACAGTGGTACACCTCTGATCAGAGTAAAACTATTCGAATAGCCGTGCCCGCGGTTATGGGCGGGTCTAACAATGTCTTTCGTGATTAGTTTCACACTTCTCACCATAATAAATGATGCTATAACTGGTAATAATTTGATTAGCTCCTGGTTTGGAATGGTATATTCCTGGTTTGGAGATAGATCTGTACAGCCGGGTATGGTTGTTCAGAATGGTTGGGCCTATACAACAGGGTACGTTGTATAGTGTTGGATTAATATTGTTTAATTATTACTCAACTGTTTTATTAAATTCTCAAATGTTTGCTAAATGCTGCTTTTGGAAATGAAAACCTATTATGCCATCCTTTGTTATCCTGTGCACTTGCATATTTGCTGCGTGGCTTGCTGAGTATGTCATATACTCACCTTGCAATCATTCATCAGAGGAAGAGTTCTACAATGATGCTGATGGTGTGGAGGATTAGGTGTAGCCTTGGTCAAGCTGCCTGTGGAGTGGAGCCGTCTGCGCCGTTTATTTTATTTTCCGCTGCTTAGATCTTTATTGATTGAGAGGAACTATCTACCTCTGTAATGACTTTTTATTCGCCTCTTAATTAGAGTAATAATTGTACTCTATTATCAATTTGTTATTGTGTGCCTCGGCTGATTCCTGGACAAGGGTTCACACACATGTAAGCGTTTGGAATTTTGGATAGAAATTCCGGGCGTGACATGGCGGCACCCCAATGGGGTCACGGTGATGGCTGGTTCCAGGAGCTCGCGACAAAGTAGGAGTGGCAGCCAGGGATCAGCTTGGTGATGCGGAGCCGGAAGAGGAGGCGGAGTGGTCCAACGTGGTCCCAACCGTTGGCGACGAATGGCTGGAGACAGCAATGGCGAGCCGTGGCACGAGAGTGTGGTGGAAGTGGCGGAGCCGATGGATTTTGGAGAAGCGGAGCGGTGCTCGGAGTGTGGCACTGAGCGGCAGAGCCAGCGGTGCTGGCAGAGTGGAGCGGAGGTGGCTAGGGCGGCGGCAAGCGGCGGTCGCAGCGCTCTGGCAAGCAGCGGCGCATGAGAACGGTGCGGGGAGAGTGGGAGAGGGCTCGGGAAGCTCGGACAAGGTAGGAAAAATGTAGACAGAGGTGCGGGGAAGGGTTTTATAGGTTTAACAGGGTGAAAGGGAGCCGGGTGAGGCAAATTTGGCTGGCAACGGCCAGTGAGGCGGGCTGGCGATGTGGGGCTACGCGGCGCCAAATCCACGCCGGATTTTTAGGAAAAAGTTGGTTAGATGAGCGGCTGTTGCGGGCGAGTGGGTTGTTGACAGGTCACCTGCCGAATTTGGGCCAGGCCAGCCCAGCCCATGGTTCGGTCGAACCCACCGTGGCTCTGTTCGATGCAGGGTTTGGATGGATGGTCAGGATTGCTCCCCTATGGCGGTTGGAGGGTATTACCGACCTTTCCAACCGTCATAACCATTATTCTCAAGCTATATAAAGCCCTCTCATTCTCCATTTCAAGACACACCTCAAGCAAGAAGTCTATTTCATCTCTCAAGTTTAGTATATTTTCTAGAGTATAGTGGAATAGAATTAGAATAGAATCTTCTATCCTCGGAGTCTTCGGAAGAATTCGGGTATGGCTCTAGTAGCTTTTCCTTCTTGTGTAAGACTTGTACTTTATTTAGAATACTGTTCTTTATACTATTATGGTATTGTATTACTTTCCGAGTATATGAATACCAACTTTACTATATGTTTGAGTTATATTTATTATGATACTAGCTTATTTGGGAGATACAATGGTGTGGGTATAATAATTGTATTTACGATGACTCTATGTCATGACGATGATATTAGAGTAGTATTCGGTAATTTAAGTGTGGTGTTTAGATTACTGGATATCATTATTTGGGGTTATATGCTGCGGAAGCGAGGTAGGCCGCTGATGGTGACAGCTCAGTACAGGTATTCCTCCGCACATGTATATAGTCCTAAGTTAATTTCCTGGGGAGGGTACTCCTCCGTATTTAGCCCGATTGTATGGTCAGGACAGATTGTCGTAAGGAACTCAGCACGGATTAGGGGTACTCCTCCGTAATTAGGGGTGGCTTCTCAAAGCACCAGGAGAGCATCAGATAGAGTGTATTAGCTAAGTAATAATATAACTAGGATGTATATATAATATGTATGTATACTAGAAGTGTAGAAATAGGATCTTTCTATATTCTTTCCACTTAGTTTAGATATCATGAGCAAGAGGATGAATGCTTCTACTTAGTGTCACTCTACCCATTTGAATTATATTACCCCCTACTTAGACTTTGATTATTACAAGTAATATATAAATTATTTGTATGGTTCTCTCTATTATAATATTCCCACAGGATTAAACAAATACAATACCCTTGGAATACTCTCGGGTGAAATGCTATTATGGTATATCCGTGCGCTTGCGGATAAACTCTGTAACCATAATATACCAGGAGTAGTTCTACACTATTGCTGGAATTATATTTCTAGTAATATCGTTAAGAAATACCAACATGAGTGGAGTGGGGCGGAGGGTTCCCGTGCACGCGGAGTGGGCAACGACGTGTGGCTGGCTGGGATAGGAGGCCGGAGGCTGGGGATGACAAGTGCGGCCGCCGGTCCCACCTGTCGAAGGGAGGAGGAGGGGAGACTGGTTGGGGGAGGTAAAGTAGACTTCAAGGGAGAGGGGGCTGGGGGAGGTTGGAGGTAAAGCGAACTTTGGGCTGGAACGTCCCAAAGGGAAGGCGGGGAGTTTAATTTGTTTTTCATTTTATTTAATTGATCAAATAAACTTTGTATTATTAAAATTACTTATTTAGCTCCAAAAATTCACAGGAAATTTCAGAGAATATTTTAGGGCACGGAGAATATTAAAAAATATTTTTGGCCATTATTTTTAAAGGAAATTTAATTTCCCACATTAATTCCACTTGAGAACTTGTTTTAACTTTTAATATAATTTCTAGAAATGCATTATTTAATGATTGTTAATCCCAAAAAAAATCAAGGCGTGACAGTCCTAGACTTGTTCTGTTTGATAGCCATGCCGCAAACATCGCATTTGATTAAAACAAGAGTTATTCCCTAACTAGAAGATCGGGTCTAGAAAAGCATGTCCAGATTTTGTAAGATATGTCAAATTCATCAAAAGACACTTATATTTTAGAATGAACGGCCTCATTAATTCTGCAATACGTGGACAAGACTATCACTGCAGGCGAGCCAATGGAGGAGACTAGCTTACCAATGCCTTTCCTAAGTCAAGCCTACGCTGCGTGTTTGTTTCCCCTTTCCAGGGTTACGCTCCACCACTCCCGCAAGTCCACAGTACGTAACGCGCGCCATACACCCTTGACCCTTCATCGAAACTAAGTTCATTGTTTAATGTTTGACTATCCACGCTCCTTACTTGGTAAAATTATAAAAAAAATTGAAAAACTAAGTCATGTATAAAATACTATTCAAATTTTACCATTTTATGATAATAAAAATATTAATTATAAAAATAATTTAAATAAGACGGAAACATTGAACGATGATTAAACATTGAACACAGTAACCCATTATTTTGGGACGGACGATGTACACTCCTAGTAATTAATATGCCAACCAGGCAACGGCCGGAATGATTTACTATATATCTTCTGCAACAATTCTGATATCCCCCATTGCTATCGCGTCCGAGTTCAGAACACACAAAAACACATGCCATGCCGTGTCCGTCCTGTCGCTGCAACAGCGGCAGCATCGTCTTCCTCCTCGTCGAGGTGGTGGCGATCCTTTTCACCGGAGCGACGTCCAAAGACACCACGAATCCATTCACTTCGCTCGACTGCCCCTCGCCGCCACCCTCGGCTTCGCCGTCGCCACCCTCATCAGCGATCAACAGCACGTTCCAATCCAACGTGTTGGCGCTCCTCGACGACCTCCCTTCCGCCGCCGGCCCCACCGGGTTCGCCTCCCTGTCCCGCGGCGAAGGCGCCGACCGCGCGTTCGTCCGCGGCATGTGCCGCGGCGACTCCACGCCGGACGACTGCGCCACCTACCTCCGCAGCGCCGTGCTGGACATCAACGGCCACTGCAACTCCAACCGCCGAGCCGCCATCTGGTACGACAAGTGCTTCCTCAGCTACGCCGACACCAACGCATCCACCGCCTACGAGAACAGCTACCACGCGGAGCTCTACAACGTCAACAACGTCACCGACAAGGTCGGCTTCGAGAGGACGTACTACGCGCTGATGAGCCGCCTCAGGGCGCGGGCCGCGAACGACACGGCGCGGATGTTCGCCGCGGGAGAGGCGGTGTACGACCCCGGCGCCGACAACGGGACGATGTACGGGCTGGTGCAGTGTATGAGGGACCGCACGGCGGCGGAGTGCGACCGGTGCTTGAACGACTCGGTGCAGCAGCTGCCGAGCTGCTGCTGGGGACACCAGGGTGGGGTGGTGCTCGGCTACAACTACTACGTACGCGTCGAAATATACACCTACTACGATCTCACCGTCGATGCGCAGCCGCCGTCTCCCGGCCCGTCGGCCTCCAGCTCGAAGCCGTCTATCGGAGAAGGGCAGGGTGAGCCAGCTTCGATTCTCCAGTTAACTGCACTTGTACACTAGTGCATGCATGTTAATTTATCATATACTAGGACTTAAAGAGTTAAGACCTTCTGCTGAAAAAGCTTTTATTTTCTTAGAAAAAAATATTTTACTAATTGCTATGCGAACTATTTTCGAAATTCTTTTCATAGAACTATATTCATTATATCTGTAAACTACTGACACCGGTTTTGAGTGTTTTAACGGGTCCTTCCTCCCAGTACAATGTGAAACTTGACCTAGTCAAATCAACTCCATGCTTCACGCTAATTAAGTACTCTCTCCGAATTGATAATACTTGTTGATAAGGGCACGGTCACCAAAAAAACAACTTTGACCATTATTTTCTATTATAATATATATAAAGTGTTAACAAATATATGATTTTATTAAAGTACTTTTTAAAACTAATCTATACATTTAGTCGCCATATTTGAAAGTCAAATATTTTAAATATGATTCATAATAAAGATTCTAAAGTTTGACCTCTCCCTAGTTTAAACGACAAGTATTATCAGCCCGAAGGGAGTACTACTACTACTGCTTGGCAAAACCGTGTTGTAAAATAAATTAGTTTGGGATAAAAATTGTAGTACCGGAATAATTGATTTTCTAGATATATATATATATATATATATATATATATATATGCTCTTTTTTCTCGATTTTTTTTTTTTGCAAATCTTGGTTAAAAACCTGTAATTTCAAAGAGTTTTGGTCATGTCTTGCTCTGCCCATTGCTAAATTAGCAAGAATATAGCTGACAGCTTGATTCATATACATTAGCAGTTAAACAAGGTAGCAGGATAATTAAACCCTATTATGGCAAAGTTTTTTTTGGTCAAGTCTTGCTTTATGAAAGTGAGCTAGCTTAGGCAGCTGTCCAATCCTAAATTAGCTACACCATGTTCCTTTGTCTCAGGATAACTTAATCTAAGATGTGATGTGACCCATCCTAGCTAATATTTTCTTCGTCCCAGAAAAATCGTATTTTGTGGAAGACCCATATTTCTTGCATTTGTTCGAGATAAAAAAAAATCTATCTTACACAGTTAGAACTGATCTATTAGTATGTGGTCCCACCTGTCATACACACATTGCGTCTTGGAGTCCGTGCTACAACTAGCTACAGATCTGTAGCCCACTGCTCTTCTTTCTCATCTTTTATCTCATTAAAATATATTTTGTAGCTGACTAATAGTCTGCTATTGTACCTACTCTAAGCCACATGCTCCACAGTACACGGTAGCCAATAGTGGGTCCCACTGGGTCTCTTTTCCATATCCCAATCTCTCTCTCCGCTATTACTTTTTTCACCAGGGAATCCAAGGCAGCTCACGAAGGCGCCGAGCGTCCAGGCGGCCCGAGTAGCGACGGTGCTGGGTGGCGGGGTGGTCAAGCGGCGACTGCACCGGCGAAGCGGCCTGAGCGGTCGAGCGGCGTGGCCCAAGCGGCGCCGGCGGCGAGGAGCGAGCGGCAACTCTCCCGCCCCTTCCTCTCCTCGTCGGCGCCGGAATGCGCGGCCAACCCTCCCCCTACCCTCCTCGGCAGCGATGGATGCTCGATGATGACGAACTTGGTCCCTCTCGGCAGCGACGGATGCTCGACGGTGGCGGGCATGGAGCTCAGTCGGAGGCGGACTTGGACCTCCTCTTCTTGTGCGCCGCCGCCGCTTCCATCTTCTTCGTGGAGTTCGCCCGCGACCTCATCTTCCTCGTGGACGACGAGCGGCGGCGCGGTCATCCTCGCAAAGGTCGCCGCCGACCGGAGCCCCGTCGCCGTCTTCGTCTTTCTTGCGGAGCTGGGATGAGCGGCGGCCCGAGCGGTGACGGGGCAGCCAGATCTGCCCTGGGCGTCGGTGTCGGGCGTCGCGCGGAGCGGCCGTGTTGGGAGTGGGGGATGGCGAGCTCGGCGGGGGCGTCCCAAGCGGCGAAGGCAACATCTCAATGCCGGCGCCACCTCACCATCTCTCCTCTCAACGCAACACCGTGCATCACCTCAGTCCTCTCTCCTCGGCCCTTTCTCCCTTCTCTGTGGTGCAGGACACGAAAATGTGGGCCCAGAGTTGCCGATTCTGACGAGGTACCTGTGGCAAAACTTGGCTATGCATTCTTCCTGAAGCAAGGGAATAGTCCGACCTGGAATGAAATCTTTGAGCTGGCCGGCTTGGGCTGAGTGTCACATCACTGCATTGTGAATGACCTAAGACAACATGCTGGTGGTCCCCAATCTGCCATCCCACCAACTTTATTCTATACCACTTTCATCCTAAAATATATTTCCTCCGTCTCTCAAAATATAAGTATTTTTAGACTTTGACACAGTCTTCGAGATGTTAATTTGACCAATAATATCTATAAAATAAGATGTTTTAAATAAAAAGAGTTGCATAGTATAATACTTTGTTTAATGATAAATCAAGTAACATCAATTTTACATGATTGATCTTTTTTATTTTTTTCTATTAATATTTAAAGATAAAAAATGTTTGACTTGATACTATTCTAAAAATCCTTATATTTTGGGACGGAGTAGTAGCAATTATTAGTTATGTATCTTTTCAGATAAATAACCAATAATTGTTATAATTTGGATGGTGGAATATTATTTGTATAATAGAATATGTATGTGATATTTGGCATATTTTATAATTTTGAACCCAAATGAGACCTATGGAATGTAAATATCTTAAATAAAAAAAGATTCATCGATAGGATTTATTTCTTTGACAAATAGATAAAATATAGTATTAAGCAAATATCTTTGAATTTGTTTAATAATTTAATTGGACATAAGAAAGAATTGATTATGGGTTTATTTTCATTATCTTTATTCAGGTTGATTTATGTTTTAGTTTGTAAGGCGTATAAATGTATCTTAGTTCAATTTGGGAAAATAATATTTATTTGAAAGAATATAACATTTTATTTGTAAAATAATTTATTTTAGTTTTCGTTCAAACTAAAATAAAAGCATATATCATTTTGATTGGGTTATCAATTGCTCAGCCCACAGAAAACCGTCATCGGTGCACAAACAAAATCAACTCAGCACGGTCTATCACATTCGCCTCTTCTCTCGATCTTTCTGCTCTTGTTCTTTCTTAGTTTTCCGGCGGTTCTATCTCTCCTCCAAGACAAATGGAATCCTCTCCCCTATGCACTCTCTATCCTCGCGGTGGAGTTCTCCAATACCTTGATCATCACCTATGCCCACCCTTGCCTTCTCTTTTCGCCCGGTCTGTCGGATCTGAGAATGATGGTGTTTGGGGATGTCCAATCCACTCAGTGGCGGTGGTTCTTGGGGCCGACAGATCTATGCATGAGAAGGCATAGGCTTGGCAGATCCATATTCTTCCTGCCGCCCCTTTCTTGCTCTGAGCTCAAAGCCTGCAGGAATGCAGGATGAGGATGCCACCGAGGCAACTTCTGTAGGGGATCATGGGCTCATGGCGGTGGCAGATCTGGTGGGTAGAGGACATTGTGGAATAGGAGAAATAGGATAGGGAAGCGGTGGCCGAGATGGAGAAGGGAGAGGGGGAGGCACAGTCGCGCAGATGGTTGATGACTGATGACGCATCAGTAGGCTGGTTGCTTGGCCATGGTCTGCACACTCTCTGTTTTTATCAACCTACGTTTTTGTTGCAACTCCTGTGGTTCGGTTCTTGTAGCTTTCATTAAGTCATTATAAATTCAATTTCCTAATAAATCATTAATCATGACATCCCAATCTTGTTTTATGTTTATTATACAGATATATCCAGAGGAATTGTTTCGAAATATCACAATTAATCTGTTCAAAACAATATTACCATATGTACAACTCATATTTACCCATAGCAAATCACAGGTAATTAGCTAGTATTTCCAAAGTTAAAATGACTAATCTAAGGTATAGATTGGAAAACAAGTTTTCTATCTGTATCTCAAATTATTGTATTAAAGTTTTGTTGATCAAATGCTCCACTGATATTCAGGGAGGATTCAAAGAATTTTGTCGTGTATATTTCTCTTTCAAATAATAGCTTTCAAGCTTTCACTCCAACTAATCATGCAGGAAAGAAGGGGACAAATGTGATTGTTGCCACCACAGTTTCTATTGGAACAATACTACTAGTGGCTGTCTTTATTGCCGTTTTCATCTACAGGAGAAAGACAACGAAGACAATGATACCACCAGGTATGACATGCACTAAAAAAAAATCCATTTTGGAAGACGAACCCATTTTACTTTACAGACGGTACATAAGAACGTCTGTTCTATACATCTGGGCCCGTAGTCATGGAACGCTTCTACACATTGATTTTTCGTTTTCTGCTGCCAGATTACTAGTATACCGATATTACCATAAGATAAGTCTAAATCTAGAATCTGTCAAAATAATTATCTCGTACTCAAACTCATATATAATTCGCATTAGATCCGCTCGAAAGAATTTACATAAGCTTACATAAACATAACATAAGTTTACATAAGCTGACGTTATTTAAATTTAAATAGTATGTAGAATGATGATTCAAATGTAAAAGTAATATGATGTGGTTTATGAGAGAATAAAAGAAGGAAGATAATTTAGATCATACATCTACGGGCTAAAAAAATTAAAATGATATGGCTTAATGAGAGAAGAAAAAAAAGAGATAATTTGAGCCATAGAATAATCATCTAAGAACTAAATACAATTGATGTGATATGATTTAATGGCAGAAAAGAAAAATAACATGAACTAAGTGATGATGAACTATATAGGTGTATAGAATATTATAAAAAAAATGATGGGGCGATATATTGAAATATTATGTGAATTATGTCGGACGATATAACATACTTACTTTTAAATCTCTAAAGTTTAATAAAATTATTAAATTAGAGATAATATAGCATGCTTGCATGATACTTAAATGTAATAATTGTTAGTGGATGATGATGTGGCATCTTTACATGTTAAGTTTTAGAAATTAGTGTGCTACAACTTTATTGTAAGAGTGGATTTATAAAATGAAATCCTTCCAGAGGAATAAAAATATACCCATTACACAGCGTGCATGTAACTTCTGAATTTCAGTATACGAAAGTGTCCAGATAGCACGGTGCAATGTACGATTTATTGCCAAGACAACTCATATAAAGTAATACATCGGAGGCTCAATATTAAGTTCTGATGCGACAAAATATGTGATTGCAAATGATTCACAATGTAATCTTGCGTGCCCCCAATTCCCTTTCTTCGTTTCGTAACCCAAATGATTGAAATAGCTAAGACACCGAGATAAACTTTTAACACAGAAGATGAAACTTTCAACTAATAAAATGAAACTTTCTATGAAAAGCCTTTCGATTTCAATTTTTTTTAAAAAAAAATGCTCTGAAACTCTCAATTGAAATAAAACTTTTTGCATCTCCCTAGAAATTTCAAATCAATTAGATTGTGGAAGTGCAATAAATATCAGTCTTTGGCCTCAGCTAGCTACGTCCCCTCGCACTCATGCGTCTACATTTTTTTTTTGTCAGACAACACCGGCAATGAGGAGGACAATGACTATGTTGACCCACCGACCCTTAACTTAACAGTGTTGAGAGCTGCAACAAGGAACTTCTCGGCAGAAAATAAGCTGGGAGAAGGAGGTTTCGGAGAAGTTTTTAAGGTACATTTTCAACTGTATATAAAGCAAAGTTTACATTTCGACACCCATACATAATGGGAACAAAACACTCTAACCTGCTCAAAACTAGGAAGCATGTCTCAGATGTCTTAGAGATACAAGAGGAAGTAGAGAAAGGAATCAGTCAGTGTTATAGAATTAATCAGCAATAAAAAATCGGTTTATATCACTAAAAGTACTTGCAGTAATGAAAGTGAAATTCAAGCATTTGATTTGTTTTTCTTCAAAAGAGTGCATTTATAGCTTGTAAATATAAAGTATAACCTTAGGACATCTTTGGTTACTAGTACTAGTACTAAGTTGCCATAAGTTATAACTGTGGGTTGTCCTTAAAAATGTAACTTATGACAACTCACAGTTGGAATGGTCTAACAATGTCATGGGAAAAATAATTTCTTTTTACAGCTAGGGATGGGAGTATTGGGCCCATGCATTTCCATCCCTACATCTAAGCACAAAGTAATTCATTTTTCCAGGGTATACTAGAAGACGGGGAAGAAATAGCAGTGAAAAGGCTTTCGAAGACCTCCTCACAGGGGTTCCATGAATTGAAAAATGAACTCGTGCTAGCTGCCAAGCTCAAGCACAAAAATTTGGTGCGGTTACTAGGTGTTTGCTTGCAGGAAGAAAAACTACTTGTGTATGAATACATGCCTAATAGAAGCCTAGATACCATCCTTTTTGGTAATTCCTCCAACTATGTTTGTCCATCATGCTCTGATATTGAAAAAATGAAATACTAAAATTCGTATATCAAGAGTTTAGATCCATTTTATGCCGCTAAGTCTCGTGCATGTTGCTCACTTTTGGGCTCACCAAAGGGAAGTATGCATATCCATGGAACTTAGTGACATAAGATGTCTTCATCCATATCTTGATTAGACTGTCCATGTATTTAATTTGCAGAGCCTGAGAAACGACAACAACTGGATTGGAGAAAAAGGTTTATGATCATTTGTGGAATTGCTCGAGGCCTTCTATATCTGCATGAAGAGTCTAGCCAGAAGATCATAGATAGGGATCTGAAGCCAAGCAATGTCCTATTAGATGAGGATATGATCCCCAAGATCTCAGATTTTGGCCTTGCCAGGGCTTTTGGTGGAGAGCAATCGAAGGATGTTACAAGACGCCCTGTTGGAACCCTGTAAGTGTATTATAAGATCCTGTACTAAACTCTACCTCTTCGGATGCACTGTGACAATTGAATGATTTGAACATTGTCCGTATGAGACACGTTCAAATCGAGCAGGCACTTGCCATCTATCTTTGCTCAACTCTTTGATGAAAAGAGTCAAAAGACTGCTTACTTATTTTTCCTGTTGGCATTACTATTTCGTGCAGTGGGTATATGTCGCCGGAGTATGCCTACTGCGGGCATGTCTCCACTAAGTCAGATATGTTCAGTTTTGGGGTCATTGTTCTTGAGATGGTGACCGGTAGAAGGAGCAACGGGATGTATGCTTCCACCAAGTCAGATACTTATGAATCTGCCGACTCCACGTCTCTACTGAGCTACGTGAGTACATATTGAGGACTAATAGCTTTAGTTTCTAACTATGTTTAGAGAAAAACGTACGTACATGCTCTAGCTTCCAGTTCATGAACAACGAGCTCCATCATTGTGCAGGTATGGGAGAAATGGAGGACACGATCCCTAGCTGACGCAGTGGACGCGTCGTTGGGTGGCCGATACCCTGAAAACGAGGTCTTCAGCTGCGTGCAGATTGGGCTACTGTGTGTCCAAGAGAATCCAGCCGACAGGCCGGACATTTCAGCTGTGGTGCTAATGTTGAGCAGCAATTCCACGTCGCTGCAGACTCCTTCTAAGCCGGCGTTCTTCTTCGGCTCTGGCAGCATCGCAAGCTTGGATGCTGCTGGTGGACATGCATTTTTCGGTGGCCGGGGTTCAGAAGTTGCGGCCATCAGCAGTAACAAGATGTCCAGTAACCCCGTTTCAGAGAATGAGGTCACGATTTCAGAGCTTCAACCGAGGTAGAAGAACAAATGCGTCTGCATCAATTGTCAGTATTCAGGACACTTGATGTCCCCCGAATATCGGTGGTAATATGGCAATAATGTCCAACAGATAAGTTAGTGTTCAGCGTATAAATTATTACACTAAAGCCTCTCCAAATCTCTCTAAGAATGCATTCCCGGTATGAAACTAATGGAAAAGCTATAATGATATCGATTAGATCGCACATTTTGATATTGGAACTACTGAAATCCTTCAAATGATCTGAGTCGCAAATCTCCTCGTACGGGACATAGATGTCATGTCCATAAATTAAGCCAATTTTTAGACTGTCTTGTGTATGTCTCTATTCAGGAATCAAATTAAGATAAACAAAATGATAAATTAATATATAGATTTAAACATAAATAAAACATAAATACTTTACAAAAGAAACATTTAGTCCTCATCCAAAAGAAAACAACAGTACAAAAGGGACGATTTAAGCGGGCTTCAGCTCTACTCTACATTAAAAAAAAAAACTCAAATAGGGTATAAACATTGGTCCTCTAAATCCTTCTATAGCTTAGAAGCACAAGTCTTCTGAAATAAGAATTAATAGTAAGATTGATTACAACCATCATACTTATCAAGCAACACTAATGATGCATACATGCAAGGGAAGGCAAAGGTTGGTTATCACTATTTGCGTAAAGGCCGTTGTGAACATCTTTTAGTTTAAAATAGTAAAATAGTTGATTATTTAAGGCAAGATTAATCTTCACTAAACAATGCTACACCACGTTGAACATTCCAACCAAACCACCTGAACTACACCAGTTCACTAAGTCAAATTAATTAATACAATGAGACTAACCATAGTGAAGTTGGTCGATCGCTCATAACCGTGTGCACAACTATTTGAATAGTTTTGCTCTAGCCAGAGGTGTACAATTGTACTCAGAAGACACAATCCACCGTCATGTTTGTTGGTATTTATTACGACCATATCTTCAAGCACACATATACTATTGTAGCTTTCACCCAAGAGTATTCCATGGTATCGTATCCACAGGGAACGTGTGTGTACAATCTATGGATAGGATTCTTCCAAGGACAATAAGTAAATGATAGGCTTGGGATAAATAGGATTACTATGGGTTAATTATCTTAATTCAAGTGAGGCAAAACTCTATCGATTGCTTCGGGCACTGTCTTACCCTTGGTCTGCCAAGGAGACTGTGGCCTACAGCTATTTGATGTAACCGGACATGGAGGATTACAAAGGATGGACATGACTATCACCACCTGACACCTACCTCTACAACCTGTGGAGCACACAACAAGCACAGGTAACCTCGAGAATAGACAACATTTCTATGCTACTAATTACTACCCTAATATCGAAACCACGCTAATAAAAGATTAAGATACTCTACTTAAGCAGAGCGATGAACCTGCAATATTGAGAATTAATCGTACTTAAATAACAAAAGTAAATACAAAAGGAGATCATGAATACTTACTTATATGAAAGAAGCATCCGTCGAGGTATGAGATCAGAGAGAGTGTCGACATCTTCGGCACTCCTCCGAAGAGAACTTCACCATTTGGGGCACACCTTTTACTCTCTTCCTATATATTCTAAATACTACTTAAGTGTAGCCTAAGTATGAAAGTCAGTTGTACTCCACTTTGTTGTGCAATTTGAGTGTGATAAGCTCCTCCTTTTGTGTAATAATGGTTGGATAGGTCGGTAACCTCCACAACCGTCAGTTGGTATCTAGTGGGAGAGTGCGCATGTGAAAGGCCAGGATGAGAGGGGACAAGGTCGGTTGGGCCGACCCCTTGGTCCCACCTCCCGGCCACTCCTTCGGTTGGGAGGTTGCCTGGTAGGTCCTCTACATATTGTACCATGGATTGGATCAATTGTATATGTGAGCCCTCCAATACGTGTATTTGTGTCCGATTAGCCGAAGGTTTATTTTGTCGCATGGTGGGTGGTTTTTGCCCATAATTCACTTGCATACAAATATTCACCAAGATTTGTGAAAAATCGTAATTAATAACCACTACCTCTAAGTTTGGTATTCCATTATGTATTATTTCATTTGCTTTTATGCATGAATTGAATGTTGTACGAAAGGACTGTCAACAATGTTACCATGTCTGGTTGGACACGTCATGATGCAAGTGATTCTGACAAAACCCTTTGCATAACCCTCCGCTAACCATCCACACCACGCCGATGTTTCACCTACACCCCTAAACCAGGGTGGGCAACCCCCGTATGCCGCCCTTAAACCAAGGCCAACCCAACTCAATCACGCCCATCCTTGCCTAGATGTCTATGATAGGGTTGAATTATACTACAGGTCCAGTTGTTGTCCACTCTTGCTTGTTGTTGATAGTCGTGAAGTACCAATTTTGACCACCAAATATCATAATAAATAACAGGAGAATTAACATTTCTTACACGTATATCAGTAATGAATAATGTAGTTGTACTAGACCTGGAGAATTAACACGAATTAACATGGATGCGTAATTCATCCAATGGGACACGCTTAGATCGAGGGATTGGGATAGATCAGTGGCTGCACCGAGACAGTATAAATCACTCTATATCTAAATGCGCCCTGAAGCAGGGATTACGCATGCTGACAGCGTAGATGATGGAGCAAACCAAACCTGCATCAGCTAATACTCCGATACTACCTCATGCTAAGATACCAGCACAGATAAAATATATAAAACTGAAACCAATCTAGCAAGCACAATGAACTAGCAGATCGATAGGAAGCTTAACATACTTTAAAAGGATGGGATCTTGGTATGAGGGGCAGATTTAGACGATCCATGACCAAATATGGAAGTAAAATGACTAAATCAAGTAAGATCGGCTGAAACTCTGATACTATCTCTATTAGTAGTCAAAGAAATAACTAGATAAAATGTTTCAAAACAGTACTTAACAGATCGAACCTAACCGATGCAGCATTAAGCGTGGGGAGAAACATAAGACCTAATTAAATCAATGAAAACTCATTCAAGATGGTGGATATACCGTGTAATCTATCCTAATATCAAAGCCTAAGCCTATCGGCCTTCTCCGATGATGGAGGCTAGCTAATGAAGCTTAGATAACGAGATCAATCTAGATTACGTGATATATATGATAACTCGGCGGTTTGCGTGGACAAGATTAGAGTGTCACGAAGATGTAAGCACTAATCCCGAGAACGTAAGCCGTCATGACAAGATTTACCTCTTCGTCGGAGATCGAACTTGATGCAGCCCAACTCGAAAGCAAAAACTCGTCGAAACAATGAAAGTAGAAAAAATGGTGGTGATGCGCCGAAGTGTATTAAACTGTCGTCCCTTGATTACATGGGGATGGGTCATATTTATACCCGGAGTACATGATAGGTCCTTGCTAGACATGACTCTTATCTCTAACGCAAAATTAAAATGCGAATGAGTCCTTCAGGTGGACCCTTACCAAAATATCTCTAAGGAAACTAGAAAATGTCCTATTAATAGATACAATTGCCTCTTTTAGGACGCCTATCCTTGTGTGGCAATAGCTATGAATGGCTTCAACTAACCCGACGACGGTCATAGGGCCAACTTTCCCGATACTGGTTGCATCGGTTTGGCTTCATCGGATCCGGTGCTTAGCCGATATGTCGCAGTCGATACCATTGTAGCCGATTCGCGTGGCAGCTGATGCTGTTTGTAACCGATGTGTACTCTGCTTTCTCGAACGTACTTTTTCCAAATCGGCTTTGTTCCCAATTTCGAATCCAATCCATGGTATTACCAAATTTGGTCGTTAACAGTCTGGTAGTCCGGGAGGTGGAAGATGATCCTGTCAATAGCGGCAGCCCTTGTAACGGACTAAAATTTTTAGGGAAAATTTTTTGCGAAATATTTTAAGTCATGCTCTTCTCGATTCTTCCTTTGAGTAATTTCACTTTTGATCTTTTCTTTGACTTGAGTCTAAACTTTATTTTGCTAAGTTAAAAGCTTTATTTAAAATCCCTTGTTAATTTTACAAAACCTTTGCATTTATTTTATTTAATCTCTAACTTTGGCTCTAGATTATATTTCCTTTGACTCCTTTTCCGAACATCTCCAACATCCACAAATACCCATTTAATTTCCGCTCAACCATCTCTAGAGCACATGAAATATCAATCTCTTTAGTGTTAATACCTTTTCATTTAGAGCTTGCCACACCACCATCAAATCTAGTTTTATCTCTCACCAAATACCCTCCTTTTGATCTCTAACCAAACACATGAAATACCAATTTTTATTTTTTTTCCCAGAATCAATACTTTTCTTTTGGATCTCCACCTAAATATTCCCATAGTCCATAAAATATCCTTTTCAATCTCCCTGAGTCAATATACCTATCCTTTAGAAGTATATCAATCTACCACAAATTTCGTTCTTGTAGAAATTCCCATCCACATATACTTCTGAATCCAGTTCTACACTCCCACAAATATTTCCCCTTTGAAATCCCCATTTTTCTTCTTTATACAATACCTTTCATAAACCCCTTTAATATTCCCAAACTCTCCTATTTTAATCAAGCCACCCATTTAATTCTTATGGCTTGATTTCCTCCTCGGCACAAGAATAATATTATCACAATATTTAGAGTGATTGCTCTTGTGCTAAGAAACCTATTTCCAATCCTTTTCATTCAGACAATATAAATTTCCTTTAGCCACAAATAATTCACTGAGAATCCATACCACATATTTTGGAGGCTAAAATCCTAGTTATTTACCTCCATCTATTTTTGCCACCATCCCAAATTCATCCAAAGTTAGAAATTAAATTATTGCCTTTCCTTCCCATTTGATTATTTTTGTGACAAGTTTTATATTTGGTTCTTATTGAATTTTATAAAATTGGAGCATCTTTATTTTTACCCCTTATCAAATTTTATATCTCAAAATAAATATCTTTGATTTTATTTTAAAAATATTTCAAACCCCCTTTTGCTTCAAAAACCTTATATTCAAATTCCTTTTATAAAAGTTCAAAAGACCCTCAAACATCCCTCTTTTAAATTTTATCTCCTTTAAAACCTATTTAAAGCCTTCCATTCAAAATTTCCCTAGTTTTCAATTCCTTTGAATCCTATTCAAATTCCTTGACCAAGATTCAAAAAGTCCACATCCATCTATCCTTTAGTTTTCATCTCCTTTAAATTCCATTCCAAATCCTCTATACAAAATTATCAAAACTTCCTTTTTATTTT